ACTTCCCTTGGGGCAGGGAACGGCTTTTTTTACGAACGAGGCGTTTTCGGGGCGCTGTGACGTGCGGGCAGAAGTGAAGAAACGGTCACATCTGCTCCCCTCCCCTCCACCCTCAGCCTCTCTTCCCCTCTTTTCGCCTCGCCATGTCCCTCCTTCTTCCCCATTTATCGCTATCCTGAGGACGTTCCTTGGAGTACGGCGCGGGTTTCATTATCGACGCGATGTTTTTGGGGGCGCGGGAGTGCTGTCAAATTTATAGGAACGCTCACATTTTCCACCTTTCTTCCCTCTATTTCTATTCTTCCTATCATCTCTCCTCCACCCCTTCCAGTCCCTCGTTATTTCTCCTTCTTACTCTCCAAATCTCCTACTCCATCTGTCTCTCTCCATTTCTCCCTTTCCATCTCTTCCCCTGAATGTCTTCCTCTCCGTCTTTCTTCTTCCCTCTATCGTTCTCATGGGGACTTTTCTTGGGTCGGGACTTGGTCCGTTTTCGGCATTTGATTTTTCTGGTATTTTAATCGTTTATTTCAGAGACCAGTCAAGCACCAAAAAAAGTGGTTAGTGACGTTTCTAAGGGGGTAAGCTTGAATTTTTCAATGAAAATTATTTAAATAAATATTTCTTTAACCAAAAATGAAAATCCAATGTCAAAATTAACTTCTACAATAATGTAGAAAGATTCAAAACCGTTATTCACCTCCCTGGATTTATAGTACGCTTGTAAGAAGTACGTGAACAACTTTCCTAGGCACATTAGAAGAATAAATTAATTGAATGAAAATGTGTCGCTTTCTTTTTAGTTTTCATTTACTAAAAAACACGAACGTTTTCTTTCGTTGATTGAAAAACATTTAATATTTTAGCATAGTAATATGTAAAATATATTTGGGGAAATTACTTGTGAGAACACTAAAATTTTTCTATAGGTACACCGTTTAAAAGTGTAAGAATCTCTGAGTATTATATCGTGGTGAGCCCGCATTACGTTTTGTACCAAACTGGGCAGTACCGTAGTCATGAAACTGCAGCGGATAATTTGTTTTGCCCTGATTGTCAGTGAGACAATTCTTAAATCTTGATCATTCATATTTCACGGGTTGAGCGAAAATTCTAGAGGGCGAATCTTGTGCGTATAAGTTTTAATGATTTTCCCTTCATCTACCCCATCGCAAGAGGGGCATTCTCTAAAAAAGGCCGAGGACCGCGTGCAACCCAGTCTTTATCTATCCTGTCAACACTTCCTTCCTTAAAGCCAATCGTGTATGTTTGGCACTTCCTCCTTTATTTAGAAATTCTGTGACAGTGTCGGAGATTCAAGATGCATTATGCCATGTCACTCTCTCAAGAGAAAAATAGAGCCATCTATTGTAAATTAATGTTACTAGTGAAATACATTTTTGACACTTGAGTTACTCCATTACCATTGTAGCATTAAAATTTTCAATAATACTGTGAGTGAAATTTTATTTTTATGTATTCTTACCAAAAATAATTGGCCGTTTTCTGGCGCACTATTTCATCTTAGGAAGATTTGTTTCTTTTTGGGACGAATTCGTAAAGCGAGAACGTAAAAAGTATGAAGGAAGGCAATGGATTCATTAAAGTATAATATTTCAATATAAATCATGTACTTAATGTGTATGCAGCTTGAAACAATGTGTGTGTCCTTGACGAAACATCTGGGTTTAAAACTTGTAATTGCGCACCTTACATGTTGTCATGGAGAAATAAACCGTTTGTTGATCTTTGTTCGACCAATACATTGGACGAGTTGTTTGCTTCTAAAACCTTTTAAGATGCATCAAAAATTGTATTTGGTACTAATAATAGTTTGAATTATTTACCAGCAGCTATAAAGAGAACTGTAGGGCTGTGGAAATGTCATCGCTAAACTTTGACTTTTTCTCTAACCTGTTACGTTTAATTGTGGTTTCAAATGAAAGTATATTCTTCAGAATGTGCAATATTATTTTTTATTTGGACAATGACGTAGAAGTCTGAGAAATGTTCGCGGTTTTACAGATAATAGTAGGCTTCTTACAATGCTACAACTCAGTTCGGATCTTGGCCTTTCATCAGCCCATCGACCGGCCGCAAGAAAGAAATAGAGTATGAAGTTGAAGAAAAGATCTTGTGCGCTCGGTAGATTGTTGTGTAGACATTAAACTAACATTTTTCAGGAATTAATCGTAGAAGAAAAAACTCAAGTTGCGGATTAAATTTGCCGACTCCAAAATTTCTCATGGAGGGAGTGAAACACTTAGACTGTACAAAAAACTGCCCTTCGTCACTGTCCTGAGGATGCCTACGACATGTCAGGCAAAACTTCGGCCTCTCAGCCAACGACGCGGCGTCTCCCGGATAGCCCAGAATTTATGGAGTCGAGCCGCGGAAGCTTACGTGTGCACTTAGACTGTACATTGGTCTTTAATTTAAAGACAAAATATTAACATTAAATCACTGCTAATGAGAAAGAACCCGTTTGTTCGTCTTTGTTCGACCAACACATTCAGTGTTTTGCTAATGTCTGACTAATTTGAAGAAACATAGAAAAATAATAATCTTAAAATGAAACACCTAAACTCAGCTATTTAATAAATATCGAAAACCAGCAACCGCAAGTTGCCTGCTCAAAAGTATTCACGAATGAAAAAAACAACCAGTTTGTTGTTGTAGTTGTTGGTTTTGCTGCTGTTGTTATCGACGTTGCTATTTAGTGTTGCTCGTTCTTCGTTTAATGTTAACTTTTCCCTCGCGATTCACCAACGTTAACCTCCTTTTCAGAGAGCGATCATGAAAGAGGAGGAGGAATCTCTATAGAGGTTAAAGACAAATCTTCTCTCTGTGCCTGATTTATGACCACCTGGACACCGCGAATCCTTCCTGCGTAGGAGCACTAATCCGGGAACTCCGCCACCGGAAGCCGCCTGACGCCAACTACTTCCGGTGCCCGGAGCAAGGAAGGCACCGGAACGAGTCTCAGCAGCAGAGGACACGAACCGTTCAACTGGGACCACAACCGTGGACGGTCATTTAAACCTGGGGATGTTGCGTAGTATTGGTCACGAATGTTGTAAGACTACTAAAATGTTCATTTAAAACTCCTTGGTATGTAAACAAGTAATGGTAACCTGAATGTCGGATCAGCTTGATTCGTCATTTAAAATCTTAAAATATATTGCTTCATAAGTCATGGCAACAAATTCGTTCTGCGAACACAAGACAACATTATACATCAGCGATTTGCCGAAAAAATGTATGGAATGTACTTTGGAAAGAAGTCATCAGTTTTTTAAGATATTATTATTATTATATCATCCATCCTACTTATTTCCATACTATAGACTTGTGATAATTTAATCACATTTCAACATTTCAAACATGAATGAAAAAATGCCAAATACAAATTGTACAATAAAAATATTGCTCCGTTTGTTAAATCTCACATCCAGAGTTCATTTTATTTACAAAAATTATACATAGTAATTTCACCTCTTGCGTTATATTTCCCTTTGTTTGTGGTCGTTTTCCACATTGATTCCACTTTATTCTTGGAGTTTTGTCTGTTGCCTCACCATACTATATTTAAATATTAGGGAGTTGTTGTTGACTTTACGCTTGGTGCCCCACATTATTCTAAATCAGTCGTAAATTGAATTCATTAAATGGTTACTATTTGGTGAATTCTCAAATCCACATTAAAGTTTTCTCGGGTTCAGCATTCAAAAACAGAGTTTCTAAAACAATAACCGTGCCTACGTTTGTTCCGTAATGAACGCACTACCTAATAATGTACCATTCTTGAATTTCGGTCACCCAGAAAATGCAAAATGTATGTTATTACTTAAGGTGTTGCTTTGTCCGAGCGAGTGAGAGTGAGTGATTGGGTATTGTATACTCTGTCAACGAGCGTGGTTGCTTTGGCTAGTTTCCGTCAGTTTTATTGGCGTTGCCGTCGCGTTAGAATAAAAAAAAGTACCGAGTGCTGAGAACGGTGGCCTCGCGCCGGTCGTCTCAGACGAAAGTTGTAAACAGCAGCGCCGAGAGGGGGCCAGTAGACGCCAGGCGACTGAATGAACGGCGCGACAAAGGCGGCGCGGCGCGGCGCGGCGCGGCGCGGAGCTGACGTGGCGGGGAGTTAAAGAGCAACGCAGCGCCGGGCGTCGACCCATTCACGTGGCGCCGCCACCCCGCACCGTTCCTCCACGCCACGCCAGACGCTCCGTCTAGTGGGAGGGGTGAGGACGGGAGGGGGAAGAAGGATTGGAATGGGTTGGTTGTTGGTGATTCTGGTCGCGTCATATGTCGAGGTCATTAATCCCGTGAGTGTAGTGCATGTTATTGTGTGTGTGTGTGTGTGTAAAGGTGAGGTTGGAAAAGGAAGACGAAAAAAGATAGTGCGCGGTCCGAAGCCCGTTTGTTAGAATTCTGCTCTGGCATTCGCCTGCTGTTGATCGGAGAAACCATGGGAATTTACCGGTCAGAGCAGCCGGCCGCTAGAATTCTCCTTCAGACAGTGACTGAATTCGATCTAGCTGACAAGGTAATGTCGAAAATCAGACCACTGGACTCGAACGGGACTCAAACGAAGGATCTCTCTGACAGAGTCACTGCAGTGGCGTCAGTTGATGGTTCAGCCACCTCTCCCGGTGACTGGGATGGGAGGATTGGGGAGATGATAATTAACAAATGTTTAGACGCGAAGGCGAAGGATAATAATGGGAGAGAGAATGGGAAAAGGGGAGGGTAGATGAGAAGGGTTTATATCTGGGTGTATTGTACCCCAGGTATTGTACCCTGGGTGTATTGAACCCTGAGGGTCACGTTTACGACAATAGATTTCAGAAGTACTTGATATTTGAATAATGAAGGAAGAAAAGGGAACAAAATAACTCAGTCGTCCACTTATGATTTTCAAGTTTTTCGTTTTTCATATATCAAGTTCATAATGAAGCATCATCTTCATGACTCATTCTGTACTTTTACATTTTTTTCAGTGAGAGTAGATCTTTGCAATGAGACCCAGCCTTTTAGTCAAATAGTTGATGCTTTGGTAATAATGGTGATAATACAAAATGTATGGTGGATCAATGGAATGCGGGGCATACCGGACGAAAACCCTTCTGATGATTGGTATAGCAAGAAGTGTTCTTCAATCCCAATATTTCCAATACCATTACTCCCCGGAACTCGGTAAGTACTCGAAGGTTAATGGCACTTCTTGCATGGGCGCCCATTCCTTCAAAATGTTATAGACCCACTGGTTCCTTTTCAGTCATTTACATCAGTAAAAATATAGCACGATTGATGTATGCCATAATTCGTAAGGGCGTGGATGACAGAACAGCGTATGAAACCGAGTCTGGGGATTGTTGGTAACAAAACTTTCTAAAGGATAGCGTACGGCTGTTGTGACACGAACTCGGTAATTTCGGTTGTAAGATACAATGATCTTATTCTGACTTATATATCGGCAAAAACAGTAATAACAACGACATTGCACCAGAGAAAAATCACAACTTGCTCAGAGATATCTACACTATCTACACTCCACCCCGCGGATACCAGAAATGCAGAGACGCCTTTTGTGCAACCGATGTAACCACGCATTGGATTATAATTGCTCTGGTACACTGTGGCGTCTACAACTAGCGTCATGACTTGTACATCAACACAAGTATAAATTCTCTGTTCGCATTAGCCAAGTATTGCGACTTCCAATGAGCAGACCTGTAGCCCGGAGGCTTCCAATAACAACATTCCGCCGCCACGCCCTCAAGGCCAATGGCAGCCCTTCCGCCTCCGCCGCCACCGCGTCTGCCGCCACCGAGCAACCTGCAAGCCGCCGGTGAAAGGAAGTTCATCCTCCCATTACCTACATTTTACACATAACCCGACAAAAAAGGCCACAATGTCGTGTGTTCGCACGCGCCCGCCTCCCGCCGCTCTCGATCAGGAGGAGCAGGAGGAGGAGGAGGAGGTGGCCGTTTTCTCCCTCTCTAACGCGCGAAATGTAACAATCATCGCCGACTGCTTCCTCATGTGGAACGCTCTCCCTGCCCCTACCGCTCTTCATCTTTTTTTTTGTCCGTCTATCTCTCTCTTTCCCGAGCGACCCCCCGCACTGTATCGCCTTCCCCCCCCCCCGACGCCCCACACTGGCCATCCCGCCGCACCCACTCTGCCCCGCCCCCCCTCTCCCGGCGCCGCCACTGCGAAACCTGGTTCCGCGCGCGGGGCGAGGCGCGGCGGGTGGGCGCGCAGCCCTTCACTGGGCGCGAATAAAAGCCTGGCGCGCCGGCGTCGGCGGCACTCGCATCCCGCACAGCAGCGCGCGCGCAACAGCACACGGCACAGCCCGGCACAAGCAGAGCGGAGCGGAGCGCCGGCGAGCGGAACGGGCCGAGCGGCGATGGCGGGCGTAGGTGCCGGCGGCGCGCGTGCTGGTGGCGCGCGCGTGTGGCGGCGGGCGCGGCGCGACGGACGCCAGCCGGACGACGCGCTGTCGGCCGGGCTGCGCCTGGCGCTGGGCGCGTATCAGCAGTGCGCCGCCAGCGACGACACGCTGTCCTGCCTGAAGCTGCGCGCCGTGCGCAGCATGGACGGGGCGCTTCGCCGCGGGCGGATCCCGCTCGCGCCGGGGCTGGCGCTCGTCCCGTCCGAGGGCGGCGGCGGGGACGGCGCGCGGGCGATGGGCGAGGGCGGCGACGCCCCGCCGCAGGAGGTGGACGAGGCCCAGCTGCCCGCGGAGCCCGAGGCCCGGCGCAGGGCGCTCGACGACCTGCTCGCCGACAGGGTGGGCCGCTTCCTCACCGCTCGCTCGCTGCAGCTGGACGCGCCAGGGGCGCTGCTCGACCAGGGCCTGCTCGAGGAGGGTGAGTCTTCGCTCCCCTTTGGATGACCTGCTTAAAAACCCTAAGCCTGAAACTCGCGTATTAACTAAGACAGAAAATAATAGCCCAACTTCTATCTTTGTGTTGTGTAATTTTTGCTAAGCCTAGTAGACTTGCGGTTGTCCGGAATTTGATTTTCATTACCCCCCTTTAGCAAAGGGAATTGTATCCATATTCGCGTCTTAAACTGTATGAATGACGGTTAAGTGAAACCCGATTTAAGAGGCATCCTACAAACACCATAAAAATTAACTTTTTGAGACACAGAATCTCTATTCTTGTTAGTTTATGAATACGTAAAATCTTTTCACTTCTTAGTAAAGTCATTCGTAACATTATCTAGACGCTTTTGATAATGTTTCATTGTGTGATATAATATTGTTTATGTCATTCAATTTAACAATCTGTTAGCGCTTTGTCGCTTATGATATTCAAATTTTGCTTTTAAGATTTTATCGGCTTGAAGTTTTGATATCTAATAACTGTGAATAATTTCAAGTATTGTGTTCTTCAATGTCTGCCGAAATATTGAATTTATTGTAGTTTTTACAAATATCTTCATCTTTTTCAATACGTACGTTATCTGGTATCCTAGATTCTAAAAGTTTTTAATTAAAATAAGTATTCAAATTTTGTGAAAATCTAATGGGAAACAGATCCCCGTTTATTATCCCCGACGTGAATTAGCAGAAGAAAAAAGACAGTTGTACTGCTCCTTCTACCAAAAACAGAAACTACTAATTTTTGATATCGGCTTTTCTTGCAAAATATTCACAAACAGGAAACTGAGATACTACTATAAACTTGAAAATACTTCATAATAATAAGAGTATTCACATTGTCATTGTCAAAGAACTGAGTCATTTCACGAATTCCATTCTGTTAACTTGAGTCCAACAGGCATCACAGTTATGGCTCCAATACTGTAGGTACCTTTGGTTGATCGTCCATTCGCAAAGAGAATAGGATCATTATTGGATGACTCACAGAAGTTGAAACACGTGCGCTGAGCGTCTGTCAGTTCCACCGGTAAACTAAGTTTTTGTCGGATCTGAAGGAGTCTTAGTCACAGTTATCTGGTATTATTTGCGAGGCAACTGTACCCTAAACCCACAGTAGTCAGCTGGATTATAAACGATACGTATTGAATTTGGAAAGCAACAACGTATTTTCGTCACATACAGCAAACCCCAAAATATAATATTACACCTTGAAAAATTATTAAACAAATACGACGTTAGGTGTATTGAATAATTTCTGCATTTCATTCAGAGTATCTAAGTATCGCAGACAAGCTCTCATTGCGACGACACGTTGCAAGAAGTCGGGCTTGCGCCGTTACCCTTTCTTGGTCTCCTCCCCAGAGGAAGGATTAGCAACTGCTGTAGCGACTCTCAAACACAGCAAACAACAGTCCCTCTGTAGCACAGTTGGTATGACTGGACACAGATTGTAATGAGTTGCAAGAGAGAAAAAAAAACTTAGGATGGGTGATTTGAGGTTCTGTTCCATTTTTTTAACAATCTTTCATTTCTTCGTGTTCAATTCGCGACATCTAATCATATTTAGAAGGAACACGAAAAATTATGTTCTGAGACCTCGTAATAAGATGGAAAAAACTATTTTTTATGATAAGCTCAGCCTCACTAGTTGCAACCGCATATAGATTCAAATTTCAAATTGTTTTCTTGATTCTAATTTCGTATAAAATGTAAGAAATCGTCAATTTAGTTACAACTGCTTATTACAAAAATACTGAACATCTTGATAAAATAGCTCTATCTGATTAAAAAACATCAGTGTCATGCGAAAAATGTAATAATATAAGTGTGATCGTAAAGTAACCAAGCTAATGCGGGATTTTGTCAGTAAAAATAATCTTAATAAGTTACAGCTAACTCTACTCTGTTTATTGTTCGCAATATCAACGTTCCACTGTATTTGCTGGGAAATTCAACTGAAAAGAATGAATCGCTCCTAAGATACATAGCTTGGAAGGCTTTATCTGAATTTATCCTTAACGAAACGTATTATCTCGTATATAACGTATATAAACCTCAATGCCTCCCCTCTTACTTTGTATTTAGGTCAGGACATATTTTAAGGAATGATTGAAGAGTTTATGTGTTTTTATTGTGGAGGGTTGGGCTCGGTCAGCACTCCGCGTTCCAATGACCTCTTGCGTGCCTCAGGCTAGAACGTGCCGCCACCGGGAGTAATTGAAGGCCGCTGTCTGCTAGACGCCCGCGGGTCTTGAGGGATGGTGGTGGCTAATGTTCGTTACGCGCCGAAGATTTATACAAAGCCACCTAGGCATTTCATGTCTGAAAAAGGAAATAATGATCAATTAAGAAATATTTAGATTCTTCTAAATTTAAGTAAGTATCATCAATTGTGAAGGGAAGCCAAAGAGAAACGAAATTCGAGTTATTGGGTAATTACAGATTGAGTTTCAATCAGTGGGATTTCCATGTAAACTGTTGAAACAGAATTCTTGCCACCGGACATTAATCACATAACCGTGTCTTCGTAAGGGTTGTGGGTTCAAAACCCTCATAACGCAAGGGCGTTTCCACCTTGCAATTCACCTTGTGTAGTAACGCAAAGGAAACCGCATATCTCACAATATCATCTAATTGAATAATTATCATGTACCACTTCCGCCTGAGAATTAACCTCGGTATTACCTATTAATTATTTGTGTATTTAAAATCCCCAAAAGACTGTTTAAACGGAAGTTACACAATTTAAAAAAATATCATCATTACAGCCTCCAAAAAATCAAGTACCTATTATTGGATTTCATTAGCATCCCCCATGGGATACAACACGCTTGTTACTTCCGGACTCTTGGTTTACATATCTAAACTCCGCCGACCGCTACTGCCGACTTTCATCACATTTCCGATTCACTGATTCGGTGGCAACATTTTCCCAAGGACAGGAAGTGTCCCCCTTTGAAGACCGCACGTGTGCCTGTTCGCATGCGTTGCCATTGTCAGGGTGGCCGGCCTGCGCACGCGAAGTTGTGCGCACGAGCGAGCGTGCGGCGTAACGCTACATTGCAGTGGCCGCTCTCCGACCTTCCCGAACCGCCAGTTCTCACCAACGTCCACGTGGGACGATGTTCTTGAACATATATACTGGCTAAAACACCTAACAAAGAAAATAAAACGCTTCTCCAAATTTCGAATTTACGTAACTCATAATTTTCGAACCCATATATCTCGAATCCTTAAATCTCAAATCTTTAAATATCGATCTAACTCTAACCTTATTATCTTCAACCTCTGCATCTTCAACGTTTCTCGTCCCTCTATACCATAAACATCGTTAACTAAAATGTCTACATTTAAACCTTTAATTTACATTTACGCTGACCAGAATGGCATAGGTTTTGATTCCCAATGGTTGTCGACTTTTCGATTTTCTAAATGGCTTTACTGGGAGGTCGAAGTTAACCACTATTTCGAAAAGGATTTAGCGACCGTCTGTGATAGATAATTTTTCGCGATTTCCTTCATCAAAAACTGGCAAACGCCGTTGCAATGTCTTAAACGATGGGCGGCAGATCACGTTGGAACGTTTCTTACACCTACTTGTACACTCCTCTATCGTTACACATACATTCACAAACGCTTACACTCACATGCAGTACAGTCCCACACTTGTCAGGAGTCCAGCCGAGATATTAGAGCTTGCCCCGGCAGGGTCAACGGTTCGTAGGAATACATAAATAGGAGAGAAATCTAGCAAACTTAAGTGTAGGTCAATGTTGGATTTCACGATTCTGAGAGGGTAGAAAACAGCCACCTCCCGAGACAAGTGCGCCGTAGTTACGGGGCTAATGATCGGAACATTTGACGCGTGTGACACATCGAAACGCTAAATGATCGTACACCACACCTCGATAACTCGAAACTTATTAATCTGAAACTTTGAGAAATAATTCGGAATATCGAGAACTTTAACTTTGATCATTAATATCAAGAAAATGCAAACATCCATTATATAAATTATGTTTTTTTTTACATTACCCTTTTGTATGACGTGCGTTGCTCGAGCTTCGAAAACGTGAGGTACCGTGTTTCATAGATAAACCATTTTCCTTTCAATCTGAAGATGAAGTTTCATTGTTTTATATGACTCTTACATCTCAAACTGCAATACTGTATCCCTGATATTCCACTATAATTTTGGTTTCCTTAATCTTCTTTTCTTTTTGTTTTCAACTTCTTCGTACCTGTCGTGTCAAATAGTCGATAATTTTGAATGCTATTTTTTCAAAACATTCGAGATAAGTAAGTTATAATATCTTAGGAGTAAAGACCTGTAGAATGTTCCGCATTGTATAAATTGACAGTTTTGAGAAGTATTTGCAGGTAAAATTCATTTGTTCCAGCTTGTCACGTGTCCTATTAGAATAATTGACACAATTTTGATTTATTCAGTCAAAAAACAGAAAGAACTGTATGTGACGTAGGGGGGGGGAGACAATGTACTATTCTTCAGAAAATTGGCAAACCATTGCGAAAAACTAATAACCCATTCGGCAACTCTTGTACATGTATGCACTTTCAAAGTCAATGTCACTTCAATGTTAACCTCCGTGTTAAAGGTTCCCGTTTTCCCACTTGAATCTCTCTTTTCCAAAAGGGAAAGATGTCCTGGCCAAATTAAGGTTAGTCTCGAGAGACTGCTTTAATCTGGCATTAACATTTCCTTTACTTGTAATGGCTGAACGTGATATTTCTTAAACAACCAACATAACCTAATAGCAAATCGGTTTTTAACTTCGTTTTTAACTATTTCTTCTCCAAAGTCAACGTAGCATATTCAACATTTTGTAAAGTAGGCATTTATATACCAAAACTTATAAATTACTTCCGCAAACTTATTCAGTTGTTTAAACCGCTAATTAGGAATCATTTGTACGCACTAGACGATCTTCGCGTGTTTGGTTTCCTTACATGTTGCTATTA